TGTAAACAAGTTTGTTCATAAATACTTTAAGTAAATAATATAGCAAATATGATTAAATACCTCTTTGTTCATGAAGATATTCATTCTAATGAAAGATTATAACATAAAATATGGAAATAATTTTTTATAAAATAAGAATAATTTTATGTAACAATATACCAAATGAAGACTTAAGCCATACTTAAGAAATATATTTAGTTCTAATCATTTATTCTAAGTAAAATGGTGCATAGTAGTTTCTAGAAAGGAGATCATAAAAGATCAGAGCTTATTCATGATCTCTATATCAAATATAAGTCGAGCTTCTTATAGAGCTTTAAACAATGTTGTTCATAAACATAAACGAGTAAACATTGAACACATAGTTGTCCAAACTTGTTTATTTAACCATCGAGTATTTTAAAAAATGTTCAAACTTATTTGATTACTTAATCAAACAATCACAAGCAAGCTGTAATTATGTCTAGCCACACGGATAGCTTATTAACTGCTCGATCTGTTTAGAGCCCTACATAAAAGGTACTTTAAACTTGGGATTACTGTATGGAGGAGGAGATATAAATGCTAAGTCGTTTTAAGATACACAGATTTTGATTTTGCAGGTTGTTTGGACGCCAGGAGATTCATTTCAGGATACATCTTCACAGTATTTGGTTGTGTTGTTAGTTAGAAGTTTTCACTTCAACGAACTTTTGTTTTGTCCACAACTGAAGCCTATATTGATTTACTTCAATATAGGCTTTTTTTTGTGCATATCAGCATTGCTTGCTGATTATGTTTCCATGGTACAGGTCATTTAAGGGACCAATAATTTTTCTGATTAGCATTTGGCCTGAGTTTTTAAACCTTCTGTCTTGGAGGGCTAATCTGTTTTTTTCTTACCATATATGGCTCTCTTATGGGTTGAGGTAGAGTTGATGAGATCTTTCTGCTTTCACTGCTACACAGCTTGGTTGGAGTGAGGAGTTGTTTCTTGTGTAGTTTCTTTCAAAAGTTGAATTAAAAATACCTTGTATTCATATATCAATTTCTTTCAACTTCCCTCGTTTGTTTTCTCAGAAATCGCATTTTACACTTGTTGCGGATTGGAACATTTGCGGTGGTAGAGAAATATAAAGTTTAACGTGTGCGAAGATCCAACCCAAATCAGATAAAAGAAAGGGGTGTAGCGTTCATAACAGATACTAAAGTTTTTATGTTGAAACTCCTAAAAATGGGGAAAAATCATGAAGCTTTGCTCTTTTTAAATGAATCCACTAGTATTTGTAGTTGATTACAAATGAAGCCCTTCCTTGGGGAGAAGGCCTTGACTGGATTTAGCAAATATACATCATGTAGAGTGCATTACATGGTGAGAGTTAGAAGAATATGTGTTGACAAGTTCATTTGTTCGGGAGGACTATAGTCGGGCGACGGTAGCCGGAAGGACCGTAGTCGGAAGATGAAAATTTGAAAGATTGTAGTATGGCGATGGTGGTCAGAAGGACCGAAGTAGACGGGCGACGAAGGTCGGAAAAACGGTAGTCAGGTAACAGTGGTAAAAATTAAGGACCATAGTCGGATGACGGAGGTCGGAATGATCGTAGTCGGGTGACGGTGATCGGAAGGACCGTAGTCAGCGGGTGACAGAGGTGGGAAAGACAACAGTCGGGTTACGGTGGTTCGAAAGACCATAATCAGGCGGCAAAGATCGGAAAGACTGTAGTCGGGTGAAGGTGGTCGAAAGGACCATCATCGGTAGGCGACGAAGGTCGGAAAGACAGTAGTCGACGATGGTGGTCGAAATGGCCGTAGTTGGAGGGTGATGGAGTTTGGAAAGACCGTAGTGGAGTGACGATGGACGGGAGGACTGTAGTTGGTGGGCGACAAAGGTCAGAAAACCTTAGTTGGGTGACGGTGGTCGGAAGGACCGTAGTCAGACTAAAGAGATCATAAAGACCATAATCAGGTCAAGGTGGTCGTAAGGACCATCGTCGGCGGGCAATGGAGGTTGAAAAGTGGGTGACGGCTGGTAGCCAGGATGAAGTACAGCGACGGTCATTGGCCAGACATAAATCCGGTGACAATTGGTGGAAGTCCGGCGACAGTCGGTGGTCGAGCGAAAGTCCTCCAATAGTCGGTGGTCGGGCGTAAATCTGGTGTCAGTTAGTGGTCGGGCTGAAGTCTGGAGACAGTCGATGGTCAGGCAAAAGTCTAACGACGATCGGTGGTCGAGGAGTTTAGTGGCAAGAGAACTCTAATTTCTCTTCCTTTCCTCTCTTCCTTCACTTCCTTGTTCCTCTTCCTTCAATGAAGAATGAAAGGTATATTTACGATTTTTCGGGAGTTGCATGGCCATTAAATATGAAGATGATCAAACACATGTTGGAAGGGTTTTGATTGGACGACCGATATCAACTCATTTGATCGTGGACTGTTTATCGAGTATTTAAATACCTTAATGATATCAGAATTCAGCGATCTTGAACTCGTTGGATTCGTCTTGACGAGCCGCTCAACTCAACTATAAGCATGTTACTTTTGAAAAACATTTGTTTGCCAATTTTATGGTTTGAACCTTCCAAATACTCTTCGTGTCCTTGATTTGAACCCATTTGGCCTCAAATTGGGTCAAATTTGGTGTCGTTCTATTTGAGTTATTTAGTTTTACTATAATATGTTATTTGAGTCATTTAGTTTTACTATAATTTTTTGAAATCGGAGTTCATATGATCCCGATTTTAAATTTGAAAGTTTTCAATGCAAAATTGCCTCAAGATTCATGCTCAATCAAGACAATTTTTTGATGATATGTCAACTCTCAATTGCTGTTATTCTACAACTCTCAAAATTCTTGATTATTTCAAAAATTAATATCACATTTTGAATAAAACATGAAATATCTTTGATATTTTTTCTTTCTTTTCCTTTTTCTTTTTTTCTTTTTATATTTTTTTTCTATGAAATATCTTTGATACTAACTTCATCAAGTTGCTCTAAAGATCTTACAAGGTTTAAAACCCCTTCAGTAAACTAAAACTCTTAAAAATCAAGATGTCTTTAGATATAATTGTTAGATTTCTTTAAAAGCTCTAAAGTTAAAGCATGTTAGTATAGGAGCAATCCTATGATGGATAATATACTAGAAAGTTACACCGAAAGATAAAACCGTGAAATCATTACATCAAAATTTGGGGTGTCAAGCCGTGTCAGCGGGTCGTGTTCGGGTCAAACCCGACTTTGACCCGACCCGAACACGACCCGATTTCTGTTTTGGGTCAATTTCTTTGACTGGAACACAACCCGCCTCGGGTTCAGGTCAACCCGACACGACCCAAAATCTATTAGAGCAATTATATTATAAGATTTGAGCAATTAATTAACACTTGAAATAATGAAATTGTAATGTTACAGTTATGATTTCTCACATAAAAGTAGAAAACATAATAAATACATTATTATATGTTTGCAAATTTACAATTTACAAAAAAACTGATTTCGCACATTACACTTTGTTACATTTATGATTTCTCACATTACACTTTGTCACTTAGACAGTTACAAATTTAAAGTCTTAAATACTTAATATAAACTGCAGTGTGCACTCTTAAGGAGTCCAACTGTCCAAGCCTCCAAGACTCCAACAATCATGTTAAACACTTTAAAATTAAAAATTCTAAATAAATAAAAATTATAAATGCCAACTGCCAAAGCCAAATAATGAGTTAGTATAACTATAAAGCTTTAACAAATAGCTCAGGTAAAACCTTTCAACTCATTTAGCAACTATGAAGTGAGTGAAGAATGTATATTTGATTTTTCTAAATCTCTATTATCATCCAAGGCGGCATTTTGTATTAAACTTAATATACTATCTTTGAAATAATAATGTATCTCAGTATCTGTTCTTTATATAAGCTAACACAAATGCCACCCGATTGCAATAGTAAATTGTATTTACCTCAATGCCCGAGTCCCGACAGATCACTTTCGGTTGAGAAGGTTTTTCATTTGAGCTTTCATAGCTATACACTTAATGTCCTTACCTTAATTCATCAAGACCCAAGAGAAATCTTCAGTCAAAAACTCCAAATTTCAATGAAGCAAAAACAAAACATATAATCAGTAATCTACGGTCCAACTCCAACAGGTAAAACCGCAAAACAGACACCAGCAGGTTGATAAGTTGATTCAGAACAGCATAAAAATTAAAACATATAAACTAATAATGAATGCAATCATATAATCTTCGGACCATCCAGCAAAAGTGCACAACCACCAAAGTTATGGAGCAATAACACTACAACAGCTTTCCAAAGAGACACCAACACCAACAGGCAACAACAGGTTGATTACCTAACTCAGAAGTTCAGAATTGCATAAAACAAAAACTGAAAAATATTACAGGCTTACAGGCTACAGCAAAGCTGCAAAGGCTTAAGGCGCAAAACATAAACCAACAACAGGCGTTCTGAAACAGCAAGTCAGCATGCAAGTAGCAAGACACAACATGGGTTATAACTTATAAGTCCGAACGATAATACATATAAATATTAAAGCAAGTTCTTCTTAGAAGTTAGAAGTTCCAAGTTCCAAGTCCCAACACAATAAACTATGTCACTTTTTTAACCGAACAATTTCCATCTTCACTGCCAACATCTGATAAATTTAAGTTCATATTCATGATGTCCTTAGTTACACTCTCAAGTTCTGGATCATTTATAGATACTTTCTCTAATATTAGCAATAGAGATATCAACTTCCTTCATTCCCTCTTGCACAACAAGATTCACAACATGAGCACAACATCTTATAAGAAAAATATCACCCTTACATAACAGTCCATTCCGCAAATTTAATTGATTCCTTAAGAATTCAACACAAACATTGTTAGCTGATGTGTTGTCTAGAGTAATACTAAAAATTCTGTTCTGTATTTTCCATTCCGTTAAAAAAATAATGTAGCTTCTCACACAAAGCAATACCGTCATGTGGTGGTGGCATGAAACCAAAGTTAATTGTCTTTTTTTTTTGTAACAATCAGTTGTTATCAATGAAATGGGCAGTCAAGCAAATGAAACCATCAGTATTAATTGATGTCCATAAATCAGAAGTCAACGAAACTCTACTGGTACATTTTAAAATCTACTTTTGAATGATGCCTTTCTCTTTAATAAACAACTTCTTGCAGTCACTTCTAGCTATGTTTCTAGAAATAATTTGTAGATCACAACGAAGATAATGTAACAATGCACGAAGACCAACCCATTCAACACATTGAAAAAAAAGATCATGCACAATAATGCAGGCAGTGAATAACTCACGAAACTCGTTTATGTCAAACCTAGAATCAGACATAGAGATGGATGAGCTGGCATTTGACTGTAAAATAAGCTGACCAATGTCACGAATATCTCTTTTTTTGCAATTTTGTAAATGACGTCTTAAATTGCTAGTACCAAACTTGATGTCACATTGATATATTGCCCTGCATTTCCTACATTTACATCTCTGCTTACCATCACTAGGAAGAGGTAACATCTTATAGAAACCCCAAACTGTTGAACTCATCCTTCTTCTTTTCTTCAAGGTAGCCGGTTCATCTAAATCTTTTCCATCAACATTACACGTATCATCATCATCAATTTCAATGTCAAGTGAAATAGGAACATTGCCTAATTTCAAATTCTCATCGGACGGAGTACTTTCAACAACTGTGTTAGAATCCTCCATCTAACAAGTAACAAAGGCACAAAACCCATATGAAATCATTTATAAAAGACTTAAAGTAAATATAAAAATAAAGGTACAATAGAGAAGGATGAGTTCAACAATATAAATTACTTAGTCGGACCATTCCCAAATAATTTATTCATCTAGTCGGATCACTCCCAAATCCCAATAAGGCAATACACAATAAACCCATAAGTCAATAAATAGCAATAAAATAAGTGTGAATATTAGAATATATTATATGCAATAATGCAACTAATGCAAGTGTTGTTTTTGCCTTTTTGGAGTTACAGAAATGAAACCTTAACCCTACCACAGTGGCACAGTGCCACAGTCCATAAGAAACTAAATGAGTTTCATAAAATCTGAAATCACTCATATTCATATTTCCTGTAATTCAAAGGTTCAACCGAAATAAGTACAGTGGTTTCTTACTCACGCAAAGCTGCACACAAGTACACAACTTCTAGGGTTTTCATGGAAGAAGCTAAAATAAGAAATAACCTAATGTAAACTCATATGAAAGAAAGAAAGGGTTACCAGTTGTCGATATATGCTGACAATATCTGAAGCTTGTGGGAAGGCCGAAAGGAAAATACCTAACTACAAGGGGAGAGTATAATTTACCTGTGAAATCGAGCCTAGCTACAACAACTAGTCAATCACTCGATCACGAAGAACGAAAACCCTAGAGTCGGAAACTAGGGCATGGAGGCGGAGCGAACTGCGAAGAAGAGAACTGAGAAGATTCGAGACACTCAGACTCTCAGACACAGGACGAAATAATGAGAGAAGATTCGAGAGTCGAGACGAAACCGTGCGGCATACTTAATATTTATTATTTTATTTCCTTTTCAATTTTTCAGCCTCGTCCCGAACTCCCGCGTGCCCCCCGCATGCGCCGTGCGCGTATCAGTCTATCAGACTTAAAGAATCGGGTCATAAGCGGATTTTTCGGGTTGACCCGAACCCGACCCAAAAATCAAATAGTGTCAAATTTTCCAACACTAACCTGACCCGTTTTCTAATCGGGTCAATCCGAACACGAAATTTCTGGGTCATGTCTAGGTCGTGTTTTAGGGTCGGGTCTAATGTTGACAGGCTTAATCAAAATGAATAATATCTTGATGGTTACAAATTTGAACTTTTACCTAAGTTGAGTCTTAATGTCAATAGGCACATGCATCCAAATATTATTTTAAAAAAGGTGGTTTTCTTACAGTTGAAAATATATAGCTCGATTTGTTATCTACATCGAATAATATAAATAAGTTAAATTATGATACTTTTGGCAGTGAAATGTACATTTAGAGAATACTGAATGAACGGTAGCCATATTGATATGCACCAAAAGACGGAACAAAATGGAATAATAGAATATGGTGAGTCAAAAGGCATTAAGAGGGAGAGAGTGAGAGGGCGAATTATTACGTCCGCTCACCTGACGTCCGGACATTCAATCCAGACGCACCACATCATCCAAATACACCGGGGCCAGGTGTATTTTGGTGACGTGGCGTGTCTAGATTGGTGTCCGGACGAATCCGAACACCAACGTAATAATTTGCCGAGAGAGAGAGAGCAAAAGAGTTCCAAGGCCAGTGAGAGCATTATATAATCTTAATTGAATCTCAGCCACTTAAATATTGCTGGATGCAATTTGTTAACAAAGTTTAGATAAAGGGTGATTAATTAAAACAAATTGAAAGTCAATACTTTCGTGTTAAAAAAAATAAAGGCCAATATTTGTCTCTAGACATACTCAAGCTATAGTTAATTTAGTTTTCATGGTATACTCATAATAGTATATATTTCTAATTGATTTTAAAAAAAATAACAAAATTATCATTTGTAAGTATCCTTTAGCTCCAACAATCATTAGGTGTTTCAACATAGATTCTGCTTTCACCTGCCTTGGTGTCCCTCTTCCATCCAGAGACATTTCTATTCCCCTCTGTCAATCACATTGATTCTAAATTATTCTTGGCCAAGCTTTCAGAGACGAATTCAGAAGATTTCAGATGCCTTCGTACTTACTTTCTGTATCTCCCCATGCCACTTCAGCTTTACCACCTTCTCTAGGCTATCCTTATCTCAATCGATCAGGAATATCGCATCTCCTAATTTTCCTTTTCCATCCTTATCGTCCGAAGTGATATCAATCTCCCACCAAGAGTATAAGAATCACACTTTTCTGTAGAGCTCTCTTTTCTGCAAGCTGAATATTGCTGAGATTCCCAGCACTAGAGATTCGATCCCAGCTGCCATAGTACTTGCTTTTTATAGCTATCAAATTTGTTTTGAGATAATTTTTTTTGCTTCATTCATATTAGTTATTGTCTTTCCATATCAGTAGTAAACCACATACTTCATATTTCTTAACATTTGAATGATATCTTCTAAAGAGCACATTTACTTTAGGGCATCTCTAATGGAATGACAAACAACTGTTTGTCGTTCTTCCGTCGCTCCAACCGAGTGACAATTTTGACGCGATTTCATCGCGGGGTGAACAGTGCTATGTGTTTTTTTTTATTAAAAAATTAAGTACGATAAAGAATATATTAGGAATATTCTTTTTTGAGTGTTGGAAAATGGAGTTCATTTGGAGACAAGTTACTTCATTTTGGAGTGAAAAATGAGTTTTTTCGGTTGGAGATGCCCTAATCATCTATGGCTTGCAGGAGTTGAAAGAGAAGAAATGAAAAGAAAGGAAGACTGAACAATAGAATACTAAATTAAATTTATAAAAGTATTCATGGAGAACATTTATAACATTATTTTAAAGTTTTTATTTTAACACATCGAACACGAACAAAAAAGATAAAATGTTAAGTTGCACTGATACACCTATTTATGAAGGTGTGTTGTATCTGATACACCGATACACTGATACGCCTCCGTTACATGTCGGATACGGGTTTGCCGTATCCAATTAAAATACTATTTAATTTCAAAAGGACACGCGTATCTGATATGCGTGTCTGTTGAAAATAAAAAGAAAATTCGAAAAATTTACTTCCGCGGCCGCGAGCGAGGTTCTCTCATTTTCGAGATGGATTTGAGTTTCTTGATGTATGAGAATATTAGAAATTGCTAATATTTCATTTGATGAGCCTAAATTAGAAGTTATGGTATTTATTGAAGATGATGTATAAGTTCAAAGATAACCCACTAAAGAAGCTAATCATATCATTCCTTCTATTAAATAGTTGAAACTTCATGTGCTAGACAATTTATGTTTATGCTTTTGTTATTGTACTAAACATTTAATGCTTACTTTTATTTTAATTTTATAAGCTACAAGGCTACAAATAATGTTACTTTCATTTTTTTTTTTGTAATTTCAAATATTATGTTTTGATTGCTTTATTAATTTTTATGTATGATTTATAAATTATAATGTCGTGTTCGTTCCGTACCCGCATCTTGTATTTTTAAGAATTTACATGCCATGTATCCGTATCGTGTCATATCCGTGTCGTCGTATCTGTATCGGTGCAACATAGATAAAATGCAATGGAAATAAAGAACACTAGGATTTAACGTGGAAAAACTTGAAACAAAAAAAAAATCATGGAGTCACACCACACTAAGAATTTCACTATGAAAACTTGAGAGAAATAGTATACATTTCTCTTCTCTCTCACTCTCTCCTTGCTTCTCTTCACCCTTGCACTGTTCTCACACTAGAACATATAAATAGAAAACATACAAAACAACCAAGGAATAAATCCTTAATGAAAAATGAGAAAGAAACATCCAGCCCGTCTCACATTGTCATGGAGCTCAACTCTTTGTCACCAATCTTCTTGACAGCGTCGCATTGCCAGGGTCTAGACCATATATATTAGCACCTCCTAACAGTGCCGCAATATTGTATGGTTGTACCAAAAAAATTTGGTATAAAGTGTAATAACTTGAAAATTAAAAAGTATTTTAAAAAGAAAAATAAATAAATTTTTGTTTGATTTGGAGCGCTACAGCAATGCTGAGATTGTGAGTGTTAATGCAATGCCTTTGAGTGCAGGGACACTTGAAAATGCTGTTGTGTCATTGAAGTCTTTGTTCTATAGTAATTTTAGATTCAATATATGACACTGTGACACTGGGTCGGATCGCTGCGGTGTTAGGTCATTAAAAGCATATATATATATATATATATATATACCCCCAATGCCTCCCTCACTCATTGCTTGGCTGAGAAGAAACTGAAGGGAGAGGAGAGAAAAAGTTCGTTGGGGTCTTTTTATTTGTTGTAAGTAATTATTCTTATACTTCTATTTTTAATGGTTTTTATTTTTATGAATTTATCTCTCCTAAATCTATCAAAAATATATTATCTTCTAATTTTATAAGTTTTCAACATATAATTTTTGTTAAGTTATATATTTGATCATTCTAAACAATATAATATGATTTTATTATTATTATTATTATTATTATATATATATATATA